CCAGTGTTCACATTTGGGCATATTGAGTATTTTTGCCAAGTTTGGTCCAGATCCATCATTGTTTGAGTCCACAGTGCTCTCTGGATGTAGGTGAACTACAACTCCAAAACTCAAGGTCAATGCCCACCAAACCCTTTCAGTATTTTCTGTTGGTCATGGGAGTTCTGTGTGCCAAGTTTGGTTCAATTCCATCGTTGGTGGAGTTCAGAATGCTCTTTGATTGTAGGTGAACTATAAATCCCAGCAACTACAACTCCCAAATGACAAAATCAACCCCCCCAAACCCAACCAGTATTCAAATTTTGGTGTATTGGGTATTTGTGCCAAATTTGTCCAGTGAATGAAAATACATCCTGCATATCAGATATTTACATGATGAATGATAACCGTAGCAAGATTACAGTTATGAAGTAGCAATGCAAATAATGTTATGGTTGGGGGTCACCACAACCTGAGGAACTGCATTAAGGGGTCACGGCATTAGGAAGGTTGAGAAACACTGCCCTAGAAGATCCCAAGAATACAGAAATACCCATATGGGAGAAGATAGTCTGTCAGGTAACCTGGGCCTGAGATGTATAAGGCTTTATTGGTCATACTCAGCACACCCACTAGAAACAGATTGAGAGCCAATGGAGCTGTTGCAAGAAGAAAACTGTATATATAAGTATAAGTATTTTGTCTTTCTTCGCTACTTACCCAAACTTGGTTTCCTCCTTCAATTTTCTCCTGACAATCATGGACACACACATGATTAAGCCAACGACAACGACTCCAAATATGAACCCAAGGATTATTATAAGAGAATCCGTTACTCCAGATTCTGTAGTTGACAAAGAGGTAGTGGGTGCCACACCTACAACAATAAGACAAGTTACAGGGGAAAAGAGACAGACATCTCCATATACGTTGGGGGCGGTGCAGTACATTTGGTATTGACACAAGTGGGTGGTTCAGTGGGATTTATGTATTCTGACTCAGCCTGATAAGTCTTTCAAATCAGAAGAGCTCTTGCCTTTTCAGCTGGAAGGAATCTCTTGGATTTGCAAGAGACAAAAAAGGGCTGTCAAACACCCTGCTTAGCTGGCAAGAGCATGGAAACCACTCCATAGTTTACTTAGCAGAACCGTTAATCCGGTTTTGTCCATAAAACACATGACAAAGTCAACTTGCTCCAGGTCAAGTAGATCATAACAAACTGCGAACCACATTTTAATGAACTAACACACTTCTTGAGATGAAGTACGGGAAGAATTAAGGTGGGTTGTGAGTTTTTGTAAGCTGTATGGCCATGTACCAGAAGCATTCTCTCCTGATGTTTCGCCTGCATCTATGGCAGGCATCCTCAGAGGTTGTGTGGCTAAGGAGGAAAAGGAAGGGGCCTGAGACTGTGAGGAATTATGGGAGTTGAAGTCCAAAACACCTCGAGGGCTGAACTTTACCCATGCCTCCTCTAGCCCATAGTCTCATCCAATCTGATAACTTCTCCTCCTTGCCCAAATTTTCTGCCTCATTGATTTCCAATCAGATGCTGATCAGATTTAAAAGGTTTTCCTTGATTTTCACCTTACCCTGCTGAATTTAAGTGTTGGGGAGAGCCACCACTGGTAGAAATTAAAGTCTTTTAAAAGGATGGATTTATTTTCAGTGGGAATTTCTCCATTTGAAACCTGGGAATTTTACTTCAAAAATTGCCCCCTTTCCACTGCAATCAGACCATTTTTAAAAGAAGCTCCCTTGCACACACACACACACATATTTAAAGCTACCATACGTGTGAAAAAAATCTTGGAGTCCTTGTGGACAACCAGTTAAACATGAGCCAACAATGTTATGCAGCAGCTAAAAAAGCCAATGGGATTTTGGCCTGCATAAATAGGAGTATAGTGTCTAGATCCAGGGAAGTCATGCTACCCTCTATTCTGCCTTGGTTAGACCACACCTGGAATACTGTGTCCAATTCTGGGCACCACGATTGAAGGGAGATGTTGACAAGCTGGAATGTGTCCAGAGGAGGGCGACTAAAATGATCAAGGGTCTGGAGAACAAGCCCTATGAGGAGCGGCTTAAAGAGCTGGGCATGTTTAGCCTGCAGAAGAGAAGGCTGGGAGGAGACATGATGATGGCCATGTATAAATATGTGAGGGGAAGTCATAGGGAGGAGGGAGCAAGCTTGTTTTCTTCTGCCCTGGAGACCAGGACAAGGAACAATGGCTTCAAACTACAGGAAAGGAGATTCCACCTGAACATGAGGAAGAATTTCCTAACTGTGAGAGTTGTTCAGCAGTGGAACTCTCTGCCCCGGAGTGTGGTGGAGGCTCCTTCTTTGGAGGCTTTTAAACAGAGGCTGGATGACCATCTGTCTTTGAATGTGAGTGGTGCAGTGGGTTAAAGTAATGAGCTGCTGAACTTGCTGACCAAAAGGTCACAGTTTTGAATCCGAGGAGCGGCATGAGCTCCCGCTGTTAGCCCCAGCTTCTGCCAACCTAGCGGTAGATCAATAGGTTCCACTCCGGAGGGAAGGTAACGTTGCTCCATGCAGTCATGCTGGCCACATGACCTTGGAGGTGTCTATGGACAACGCCGGCTCTTTGGCTTAGAAATGGAGTTGAGCACCAACCCCCAGAGTCGGATACAACTGGACCTAATGTCAAGGGGAAATGTTTACCTTTACTAAGCAGAGGCTGGATGGCCATCTGTCGGGAGTACTTTGAATGTAATTTTCCTGCTTCTTGGCAGGGGGTTGGACTGGATGAGCCATGAGGTCTCTTCCAACTCTATCATTCTATGATTAGACGGCACAAGATGTGAGCCATGATGCGTTCTGCGCATCTATTATATCAAGTGTTAGCTAGACACTATTATTACTTCAGTTCACTCTGCACGCACCATGTCATATCATACCTACTCGATCATAGTATGATAGAGGACAGGACGCCATGTATTCTGTAACCAGACAAAGAAGCGCAGGCAAGTTGTGCATTGCTGATAGCGCTAATAGACTATGACTAAATCGAGTTACACTGCCTAGCCCGGGTAAATAGTATGCTGAGATAGTTCAAGTGTAGTACCTTAAGAAAAACGAGCGAGCGTCAGGAGGTCAGCATGCTCAGCGCCACTGTTCCTTAACTTATCCATTATGAACGCTGCATGCGACTTGTGTATGCCGCTGAATTATCAGCTAACTTCTATTTCCTTATTAGCGCGGCCCATTCATCCACTTCGCATCATAACAGAACACCTACCTTAAAGGGCATTGTATGACCAAAATAGTCTGAAAATGAGGGCCCAAAGAGGACTAACCCATGCACATTTCTGACTCTTTTGCCGAGGAGTACATAGCAAAGGAAGTATACAACACATCAACAACAAAACTAGGATGTTTGAAATTCAGGGAAAAAAACTGAGCTCACAACATTAACTCAAATCATCAGACTGTTGCGACTTACCATTTCCTGGAATGAAAATCCCAACTGGCTCACTGAATGGCCCAACTCCACCATTTGTGACTGCAGCTACTCGCACTATGTATGTGGCATTCGTGACCACAATTGGAATATGGGTGCCATTGACATCTTTGCCAGCGTGAGAAGAGCGATTGTGCTGAGCATGGGGGAAAAAAAGATTTGAAAAGGCAGAAGAATTAGTGGGAAACCCCCCTCTCCAGGCAAACCATTAAATAATTAACTAGAAACCCAAGATTTATCCAGATCTGAGAGATTTTCGGATTACATTTCATGCTCATTTGCGCACACTGTAGGCCTTACAGTAATCGGCGGAGATTAAAGCCTTGAAAACAACCATCTCTCTATGGAGAATGGAGAATCTCTACTACTCCAAGCACTGATGTGAACAATGAAGTCGCTGACAAGCACTTCTATTTAAACTCCCCAAACCACTGAAGTCAAAATGCAACATAAATTTTACACAGCTGTATAAGCTGCCAGCTACAATCTATCAGACCTAGTCATTACAAGGCTGTCCTTGGATTGGAGACACAGCCAAAAAGAGTCAAAATAAACCTAATAACATTAACAAAAAGCAGAAGAACTAGAAGATGTGACCAGCTTGCAAAATTCTTTTTTCTTGATACACTCAAAAACCACTTCACCACCATTTCTGACTTTACAAAACCACAGAAATTGCCCTAATTTGTTGTTTTCTTTTATCATGTTACTGCATGATTTCTCATCCGCTGGGATCACTGCTCCAGGACAAAGTTTGGAAAGTTATTTTTACGATACATGAATACAATTATATGCAGAAGGAAAGGGCCTCAGGCCATGAATTGTGGGAGTTGAAGTTCAAAACATCTGGAGGGCCGAAGTTTGCCCATGCATGGGTTAGAGCAGTGGTTCTCAGCCTGGGGTCCCCAAATGTTTTGGCCTTCAACTCCCAGAAATTCTAACAGCTTCTAAACTGGCTGGGATTTCTGGGAGTTGTAGGCCAAAACCCCCTGGGGACCCCAGGTTGAGAATCACTGGATTAGAGGGATGATGATGAACTAAAGCAATCTAATGTTATGTAAAAATACTGATCCATCAATAGTCCTCATTTTGGAGTACAATCCTACATTAACTTAGTTCCTTTCCAACTGAGAAAAATAAGCTTTCCAATGTTACAATATTCCTGGGGTGTCTGCTATGATACTCCTGGGGGGTATCCACACTGTTAAATTAACACAAGTTGACACCACGTGGATTCAAGTTCCATCTTGTCTCCTGCACTGTGCTAATAATATAATATAGCATAATTTATATACATATAATATTGATAATATTATAATGTGATACAATATAATACTAATATGATATTATAATTCTATATTTTATATTACATGTAATATTACTAATAATATTACAGTAAAATGGTATACGACAATATAGTAATATATAATATTAATATTGTGTTATGGTAATAATATAATATATTGTATTTACATATTACTTGTAAACCACTGAGTCCCCTTCAGGGTGAGAAGGGCGGCATATAAATGTCGGAAATAAATAAATAAATAAATGCCATAGTTCAATGCTATATAATCATGGGAGATGACGTCAGGCAAGATATTTAGCTTACCGTGTCAAAGAAAACTGTTGCCTCACCAAACTACAAATCCCAGTATTCCATGGCAATTAAAGTGACGTATTTTTTAATGTGAGGAGCAACTTGAGAAATTGCAAGTCCCTTCTGGTGTGAGAGAATAAGCTGTCTGCAAGGACGTTGCCCAGGGGACCCCTGAGTGTGTTACCATCCTGTGGAAGGCTTCTCTCATGTCCCCGCATGGAAAGCTGGAGCTGCCAGACGGGAGCTCATCCCGCTCCCTGGATTCGAACCATCAACCTTTCGGTCAGCAGTCCTGCCAGCACAGGAGTTTAACCCATAGCACCACTGGAACAATGGGTTAAACTACATTTGACTACATGAACGTCAAACTACATTTGTTGTACAGTGCAGATGCACTCTCGATCCCACCCTCATCGCAAGTGCATTTGGTAGGGACGAGGGACAGGGCCTTCTCAGTGGTGGCCCCCCCGGCTATGGAACTCCCCCTCCAGGGATATTAAATCAGCCTCTTCCCTCCTGACTCCGAAACTTGGCTCTTTGAGCAAGCTTTTGAGAATGCAGTAGAATAGATAAAATGAAATTATGAATGATGAACTCGGATTGGCTAGATGATGTTTCTGGAAATTGATTTTAACAGGATGACACATTTACAGTTTACATTTTTTTATTGGCTTTTATATATCTATTGTATTGTTAGGTTGGTTTTTTAAACTGCTCTAATTGTTCTTTGTGAATGTATGGCATTGAATTGTGCCAGCCTGTAACCCGCCTGGAGTCACTATATGGCTGAGAAAGGCGGACTATAAATATGGAAATAAATAATGAATAAATTTGCTAGTGATCTGAAAATGATCACCCTGAGGATTTCAATGCTATATCCTTTTTTCCAGTCTAAATGCTGTCCTTATAACTAGTGATAAAATGGGTATTTATTTGGAGATATATTTTTCCTCACAATGCCATCTAAGAAAAGCAACGCGAATTATTTCAACAAGCCTAATTTGACATGGCATTCATCTCAAACTACAGGCGGGTTCCATCTGATACGCCAGCATGATCCATTTGAAACAAGAAATTCCCTTTTCCTGTAAATTCATTTATTTCCTGGACAGCTAGTGAGTCAGCTGAACGGCTGAAAGAACTCTAGGTCCTGTTTCCTAGCGAGCTGCCCCTGAAAAACAGCAGCAATAACAACATCTCCTGTGATTCAAAAGTGCAGCTGGCAGGGTTGACAAGCAATGGGCAATCCCTCCGTGGGGCAACGTGCAGAGTTGCTATCACTAGAAACTGACTAATGTGCAAGGATAAGAATCCTCCATAAACAGGAACTAAGCCTTCCTCGCAGTTCTTTTTTCCTTTCTCTGTTTTCCCACATACATTACATTAAATCTGCTATCATTTTATTTGCAAAGCAACCAATTGTTGTTATGTGCCTTCAGATTATTGCAACTTATGGTGACTCTAATGCAAGCATGGGCAAACTTGGGCCCTCCAGGTGTTTTGGACTTCAACTTCCACCATTCCTAACAGCCTCAGGCCCTTTCCTTTTCCCCCTCAGCCACTTTGTTGAGAGGAAAGGGCCTGAGGCTGTTAGGAATGGTGGGAGTTGAAGTCCAAAACACCTGGAAGGACCAAGTTTGCCCATACTTGATCTACACTGTAAAATTAATACAGTTTGGTACCACTTTAACTGCCACTTTGCAAGGTATTTAGAGTTCCCTGCCAAATAGGGCTGGTGCCTCCCCAAATTACAACTCCCAGGTTTCTAAAGCATAGTAGCATCAAACTGCATTATTTAAACAGTATAGATTCATCGTAAGCTAAGGTTTAAATTGGGAATGCCAATGAAAAGGGGAAAAGTAATTAGATTTGTCCTTAAATGCAAGTGATGGAGTTAGACTGGAATTTCAATATTAACCTTCCCCAGAACAAATGAATTAAATAAGCCACTGTGTCAAACTGGCAACACATTTTGCGAGGCATGGCTGCAACAATCCTTTGGAATCTAGACAAAAAAAATATGATTTTTCCATCTGCAGAAAATGTGCATGGAACAAGATGTCAAAAATGATGATGTAAAATAATCCTAGCAGACGTTAAGATTCAAACTGACAAGCAATTAGACCGTAACATGACAGATGTAACTGTAGTTAGGGAGGGGAGGACAAACTGGATGAGGCAATCTTGAAAGGCAGCAGAACTGAACATGAAATGAGGCAAAAGGTTATGAAATATTGAGACCTAGAAGAAGAGATTCAGTGCCTTGAGGACAGCGTTTCTCAACCTGGGGGTCAGGACCCTGCCAAAGACCATCAGAAAACACAGTATTTTCTGGGTTGTTGTAGGTTTTTCAGACTATATGGCCATGTTCTAGAAGCATTCTCTCCTGATGTTTTGCCTGCATCTATAGCAAGCATCCTCAGAGGTTGTGAGGTCTCACAACCTCTAAGGATGCTTGCCATAGATGCAGGCAAAACGTCAGGAGAGAATGCTTCTAGAACATGGCCATATAGCTGGAAAACCTACAACAACCCAGTGATTCCAGCCATGAAAGCCTTTGACAATACACAGTATTTTCATTTTTTTAATATATAATCTTTAGTGAATTTCCAATTTACATTTAAAATGCGAGAAATGTAGTCGAAGCTACTAAAATGTGTGAGATGTGATAGCAACGAAACCCCCGAAAGAAAGATGTGTTACGTGAGAGAGAATGAAAGCGTCAAAAGTAGCAAAAGTAGCAAAAGAAAGTAAATAAAGAAGGAAAGTGGGAAGGGGAAAAAGAAAAGAAGAAGAAAGAAGAAGAAAAAAGAATAGATATAAAGCCCGAAGCCTGATTAATACACAGTATTTTCAGATCCATCATTGTTTGAGTCCACAGTGCTCTCTGGATGTAGATGAACTACAACTCCAAAACTCAAGGTCAATGCTCACCAAACCCTTCCAGTATTTTGTGCTGGTCATGGGAGTTCTGTGTGTCAAGTTTGGTCCAATTCCATCTTTGGTGGAGTTCAGAATACTCTTAGATTGTAGGTGAACTATAAATCCCATCAACTACAACTCCCAAATGACAAAATCAATCACCACAACATGCGGAACTGTATTAAGGGGTTACGGCATTAGGAAGGTTGACAAACACTGCTCTAGAAAAATAAAACAACTGTCATAAAAGTAGTGATATTTGCTCTGGGAAGAATTCCAAATCTGCATCTTTCTCTTTCTCTTCTTTTCTTTTCTCTTTCCTCCTTCCTCTAAGGAAGATATGATATACAGTCAGCCCTCCACATTTGCTGAAGTTAGGAGCACAGGACCCTGCTGAAAGTGAAAAATTGCAAATAAAGAAATGGCTTTTTATTTATTCATCCTAGAGAGATGTTCCCTCGATTAGCGAGATATGCCGAAACTAACAAAATGAAGTTCAACAGTGTCAAATGCAAGATACTCCACTTAGGCTGAAAAAATGAAATGCAAAGATACAGAATGGGGGATGCTTGGCTAGAAAGCAGTACATGTGAAAAAGATCTTGGGGTCCTCGT